CAAGTATATATATACAAGTATATATAGATACAAGTATATATATATGCAAGTATATATATATACAAGTATATATATATACAAGTATATATATATACAAGTGTATATATATTCAAGAATATATATTCAAGTATATATATATACAAGTATATATATATTCAAGTATATATATATACAAGGATATATATATTCAAGTATATTAATATATATATTCAAGTATATGTATATATTTATATTCAAGTATATATATATTCAAGTATATGTGTATATATATTCAAGTATATGTATATATATATTCAAGTATATGTATATATATATTCAAGTATATGTATATATATATTCAAGTATATGTATATATGTATTCAAGTATATGTATATATATATTCAAGTATATATATATATATATTCAAGTATATGTATATATATATCCAAGTATATATATATTCAAGTATATGTATATATATATTCAAGTATATGTATATATATATTCAAGTATTTGTATATATATATTCAAGTATATGTATATATATATTCAAGTATGTATATATATTTTCAAGTACATGTATATATATATTCAAGTATATGTATATTCAAGTATATGTATATATATATTCAAGTATATGTATATTCAAGTATATGTATATTCAAGTATATGTATATTCAAGTATATGTATATGTATATTCAAGTATCTGTATATTCAAGTATATGTATATGTATATTCAAGTATATGTATATTCAAGTATATGTATATTCAAGTATATGTATATTCAAGTATATGTATATTCAAGTATCTGTATATTCAAGTATATGTATATTCAAGTATCTGTATATTCAAGTATCTGTATATTCAAGTATCTGTATATTCAAGTATCTGTATATTCAAGTATCTGTATATTCAAGTATCTGTATATTCAAGTATCTGTATATTCAAGTATATACATATTCAAGTATATACATATTCTTCAAGTATATACATATTCTTCAAGTATATACATATTCTTCAAGTATATACATATTCTTCAAGTATATACATATTCTTCAAGTATATATATATTCTTCAAGTATATATATATTCTTTAAGTATATATATATTCTTCAAGTATATATATATTCTTCAAGTATATATATATTCTTCAAGTATATATATATTCTTCAAGTATATATATATTCTTCAAGTATATATATATTCTTCAAGT